ATCCTATTAAAAAACCTCACATGAACCTCATTGGACACGATTAAAGGTTTGATAAAAAACTCAAGTTTGACCGACAAATTTTCTTCTGCTATATTTATTATATTTATGACTAATAAATACCACAGCAAGTTAAATTGAAGCAAAGTCAAAGCTGTGTGGCATGCGATTTGGTTTATAGCTACAGTTTTACGTGAGAGTAATATAGTTTCAAACCGGATTCCATGAACTGACCTCACATTAGTCATTACCATATTATTTTATAAGAGTAAACGAATTTTTCTCACCCAAGATTTGCCTTCGCGACACTTTCTTACTCAAAATTTATATTTTGTTAATACTCAAAATACATTTCACTTTCTCAGTCGACGTTCAACGAGTTACCAAGAACAAGGATGAGAGATGTTTTGTAGAGTAAAAATCGGTAGATCAAATTGGTATGACTGATTGAATATTTACACTAAAAATCAACTAAGAATAGGAAACTCTAGTTTTGCAGTGACAGATAATCGGCAAAAAATCAAGTGTCGAAGTAAAAAAGTTTTGTAGAGAGGAGATCGGAGTTTCAAATGATGGTGATGAAGAGCATTTTTGACATCGAAATCAGCTTTGGCTAATAACAAAATATTAATTTTGGGTGAAAAATTTATATTTTGAAACTTTTTGAGTAAGAATGTGTCATTACGTCAAACCTTAGGTGGGAAAAAGGCGTTTACTTTAATTTATAAATACACTATTACATAATTAGATGCAAAGTCAATTTTAAATCCTTGGCCTGACTTACAGTGTATGGAAAGGAAAGGAAAGGAAAGGTTAGGTTAAGATACTTGGTCGGAAAGAAAATCCCAGAGTCAATTTAGTGGACCAGTAGTAGTATACGATGTTGCTTGTATAACTGTATAAGTGCAGTGTAGACAATACTAATGACCACCTGAAGACTTGGGTATTCCGGCTAGCTAGCTCCTGTAATCGACAAAGCTATTAACTTTCATGCAGGGGATAATCAGACCCAATTGATTAATTACTTGCTATACACGGCATGCATAAAAAATGAAGACAAATTTTGAGGCTGAAGTCCCGTATTTTGCCTATACTAACTTATTTAATACGAAAAGAGTAGAGGTATACCGTATACGTTTTAGATAAATAGAAGATCTGGAATTTAGTACGTAATTCTCTAATATTCTTAATCTGTGTTCCAGCCCATTGATCTAGATTATCTTTAATGGTGTAGCTATTGGATTGCTTACCTAATTCTGTATCTGGTAAGAAAAGAACTGCAATTAATTTATTATTTGCGCATGCATTTGGAGCCTAAGTTTTCTTAACTTCATAATTTCATACTGTTTATTTATGTTAAACTATCCTTTCTCCGTATATTCTGTAAATAATTTCATACATCCAATTCCAAGCCTGCAACTGTCTTTTTCTTTTTTATTTGAAAATGATTTCGATTGATACAAAACACCCTTAAAATAATAAACTCAAGTTCCCATGCGAAATGATTGAAGCATTTGAACATAGCCTGTAAAAGGCAGAGGCTAACCAAATCTCAATTAGTATGCCGAGTGACCCTTGAGATGCAAGAAAAGGAGAAGAGTTTTTCTGCTTTGAATAATGAGGTCAAATATCTACTTTTTCTTATTTAAATCGATTTTCCTTTCGCTGTTTCAAGGTAGATATATATCAATAGAGTAAGATATAGAAATATGAGTTTTTGAGAATACTTTTTACCAACCAAAATCTTTAAAACTTTGATATGCATGCTAGGAGATACATCCATATGCATTTGACATTAATTAAGTAAGAATAAAATCACATCACACAAAGAAACATGATATTTACGTGTTTCGGTATAACACGCCTACATCCACAAATGAGAAAAATTCACTATGCTTTTATAAACATGATATACAAAAGTACAAAATACCATAAACCCGGTACATAATTAACAGAATGAAACAATTTTAGTTTCAAACCACGTTCAACTTAATACCTAGAGCGAAAACAATCTTAGTTTCTAAGACACTCTATCCATAAGGGGCGTTTAGATCATATAATATTTTATTATAAGGGTATATTATATTGACAGCAAGAAAGATTACCTTGAATATTATTGAGAATGTTTATAAAATATGTTTGGTTGATTCAAATAAATTGGTAAATAATATGTTTAGTTGGGAGGATCAATGGATGGGTATGTAATATTTCATATAGATTACTATCTTGCCCTCATTTTAAAATATTAATAGAATAATATTTTTTTTTTTTTGAACCATCCTTTTTAACCCTCTACGTTTGAAATTTTGCTAAAACACCCCAGCCATATAAAACTTTAATTTGTAGCAAAATCACCCCCATCCGCCCCAAGCCACTGACGGCAACCAGCCACCGCCGTCGGCCGCCACCAATAGTCGACATAATGGTGCATGGCCAATCGTATGGTCGACCGTGCGTCGGCAAAGCCAGAAATGACCATGGATCATAAATCCATGGCCGAAAAAATGGCTGGATCTATGGTCATTTCACGGCCAAAGATCTGGCCTTTTCACTACCAGATCTGTGGCCGTTTCATGGCCACATCTTCGGCCATGAAACGACCATAGAAACGCCAGATCTAGCTGTTTCCGGATCCATGGCCAGAAAAGGCCTTAAAGGCGCATGACCGACCAAATCTCGTCGGTCATGCACCATTATAAGAATTAAAGCTGAAGGCCGACCACACAATTTAAGAGCTCTGATGCGTGCGATTTGAGTGATCTGGCCACGCGATTTGAGAGCTCTGATGTATGCGATTTGAGCGATCTAACCACGTCATCTGAGAGCTCTGATGGGTGCAGTCTGAATGATCAAGCCACGCGATCTGAGAGCTTTGATGAGTGTGATATGAGCAATCTTGCCACACGATCTGAGAGCTTGATGCGTGCGATCTGAATGATCTGGCCACACGATCTAAGAGCTCTAATGCGCACGATTTTAGCGATCTAGCCATACGATCTGAGAGCTTTGATACGTGCGGTCTGAGTGATCTGGCCACGCTATTTGAAACAAGCTTTAGTATTTTGACGATAACTTGACCTGTAGACCTCGGATTTTAATGATTCTTGGACCATCAGAAAGCTTACTTGAAGGGCTACAACTATTGTGTTTGCCGCTTTTCTAGATTTAGACTTTATTCTGCTCAAATTTTCACATGTTATAACGTGAAAAGAAGCTAGAATTTGCTGAAGAAGTTGAGACTTGCTGGAAAAACATGGAGAGATGATGTGAATCATGCCCTCCTTCTAGTGCCAAATTGTTGATGTTTGATTTTGACACCAACGACCTCGCACGTGCTAAGTGCTAAGCAAGTCTTAGAAATTACATATGATATAATTATGAGAGTTGATTATGGTGTTGATATGATATATGTTTGAAGAAACATAAATAAAAGATTAACAAGAGGGATTTTTATAGTGGTTCGGATGCTTAAAGCGAAGCCTACATCGACTGTTATTTTATTATTCTTTGACTATTTTGCTGATATTGCCTATAAGGCATACAAAAATAGAAAAAATAATGGCAGAAGCTCAAATATATACCTAGTTCTCATATGCCCAGCCTCCAACCTCCTTCTTTCATGAAAAGAGTTGTTATTTATACCTTTAAGGTTAATATAATGAGTGATTTTATAAGTCTTGACACATAGAGATCACTCTTTAATCTTTATCTTAAAATGAGATAGAATTGATATAAAATATCTCTTTAAGGAGGTTTGGGTTTTAACAGTTAATACCACTTTGTTTTTGAGTGTTTGTTTAGTTTTAATTGGTGATGTTGACACCAGTATGTATTTTTGGCATAAAAATATTCTTTATTAAATAATTTTCTTAAAGACATACAATTTTACATAGGAATAAATAAGATTGTGAGTCACAATCTCCCAATAACACATTTTGTATTGTTATTTATGGATAGTCAAGTGAAAGCCATTTAAGCGAGGAGAAATATTTGGTGAAATGAGAGATAAGAGGAAAGAAAGAAAATTTTTTGGGAGTATAAGAAACGTGTAAGAAATTAAGTTAATAATGGAAATCCATGGATTTGGCCATGGCGCACGTTAACTGGTAAAGCTTATTGCCATTTCTGGTGGTTACACCTTAACTAATTTATTCTCAACCACATTTTAGTGCCAATGTATACTTAAAACTGAACTACGATATGAACACTGTAATGTGGAAAAGAAAGATTTGTTGCTTGATACGGACAGATTGAGCACTGCTTCTTCTTGATGATGACCAAACGCGGATTAAAAAAAAGAGACCGTCCGCCTATGTGAAAACCAACCGTGTCGGGCAGCATTTAGTTACACGTATAGTGTGGTCGGAGGTGGGTTCGATCTGTCTCTAGCATAATCTGATCACTGTGTGTGTACGTGTAAAATGAGAATTGCATGGTTCTGATTTTAATCATGCAAAGCGGCCAAGTGATATGTTTTTTTCCTGTATTAAGTTAGAAAAAAAGAAGGAATGTACTAAATCACCAAAAATTGATAGTGGATAAGTCCAAAAAACCGTCCAAAAACCTCATTTAAGTCAACATTGCCCTTCCTATCCTAAAACTTCAAACCGTGTAAATCTTCTGTTGCTTCAGGGAAATTTCATTATTTTTCATTCCTACATGGAGTATTAACAAGAACGACTAATTTATTTATTACCCGCAAAATTCAATAAATTTTAATTCCAAGAATAAATACAAGAGAATTAAAATTCTACTAACAAGTATACACTTGTTTTTTTTTTTAACACATGTGTATGCTTATGCATGAATCACGCAAGCCATTACGATTTAGAATAAGACCAATTTACTCCATTTATTTCCAATTGTAGTGTCGGTTTTCAAAAGTTTTGAACTGACTTTTCTCTCAGTATTCACCACGTCAACAAACATTTAGCCCAATCCACTCTGGCACTGCCTATAAATAGGCATTACTTCTCTCTGCTTGTGGCACACTCAAACTGCGAATATATTCTAATATTCATACACACTGCTCTATCCACAGAGAGAAGAACAGTTTTTTGAACACTGAAAATGGGAGTTTTGTCCAAGATTGCTACTAATAACCGCCACGGGGAAGATTCTCCTTATTTTGAGGGGTGGAAGGCATTTGATAGGAATCCTTTTCACCTTACTCAGAATCCTCAAGGAGTTATCCAAATGGGTCTTGCAGAGAATCAGGTTTGCCGAATATCTTCAACCTCAAGTTTTCTGTTATATATACTATGAGAATGGCAGAGGAATTAACGTCACCAGAGATGAGAACTAAACATGTAGTTTTTTTTTTTTTTTTTTTATTTCAGCTTTGCTTTGATTTAATCGAAGACTGGATTCGCAAAAATCCCTATGCCTCCATTTGTACTGCTGAAGGAGTTGGCGAGTTTAAGGATATTGCAAACTTCCAGGATTATCATGGCTTGCCAGAGTTTAGACAGGTATTGTGTTTGATGATTACATATATATTCTTATGCATGCTACAGTTTACGTATATACAATTCATCGCTTTAAATATACGATGAATAATCTGATTAAGAAAGCTGAACCAAGAAGTGGCATTAATTATCTTATATTTCAGGCTGTGGCGAACTTTATGGGAAGAGTGAGAGGTGGTAGAGTAACATTTGATCCAGACCGTATAGTTATGGGCGGTGGAGCTACGGGAGCAAACGAGCAAATCATCTTCTGTTTAGCCGACCCTGGGGATGCTTTTCTTGTACCCACACCTTATTATCCTGCGTAGGCACCTCTTCTCTCTCTTTTACACTAACGTCTTTGTTTCTCTAAGATGGTTCCGGATCAAATTTGTGCTTTCTGCGGTAATTTCTTGAGTGATTTTGAGCTAAGTTATTAAAAAAAAAAAAAAAAAAATGCACGCTAATAGCACTAGTGTACTACATGAAAAGGTAGTTCCAAAAAAAATTAATTGCGGAGGCTTTGAAGTCGTGGTCACACCCACAAGGCTTTCAAAGAATAAACAATTAGGTGTTCTCATTACGAAATTGTCGACTTTGTTTTCACCAACTAATTATAATAAGAGGTCAATTTCCCATATCTGGAATTAATTAATGAATTTAAATTATAGGTCAGTGAGATAAAAAAATAAAAAATTTGGTTTGATTCCATAAATTAGGGTCAACCTCATAAATACTAAGTGTGAATTTAAAATATTATGAAATTACTCAGCTACTCAGATTGACTATTAATTGCTAGGTGCCGCTGACACAGAACTCCGTGCCAATTAAAATGTATAGAACTTTTCTCTGATGCTACATGTCGTCAAAATTCAAACAGTATACAGCTGGTGTTTTGGACAATTTCTACAGGCTTAAGTTTATTTTCCAATTAGTTTACATTCTTCTTCCATATTCAATTGTTTGGACCACGTTAATGTGAATAGTCTATCACTTACAATAAAAAAATAGAAGAAAAAAAAAAAAGAATTTCTTAATTTCCCAGAAAGTTCAAATGTGTACTTTTTCTTCCTTTTATTTTATCCAAACTTAGATTAAGAAAAAAAATGTTTCATAATCTTATCGGTTATACTGAATAAATCGAATATGGGATTGCAGATTTGACCGGGACCTGGGATGGCGCACTGGAGTTGAAATAGTTCCTGTTCACTGCGACAGCTCAAACAAATTCCGGATAACCAGAGCTGCGTTGGAAGAAGCATATGAAAAAGCTCGAGAAGCCAACATTAATGTCAAAGGCTTGATCATAACAAACCCCTCAAATCCACTTGGCATCACCCTTGACAGAGATACACTAAAAAGCCTAGTGAGCTTCGTCAATGAAAAGAACATTCACCTTGTCTGCGATGAAATATATGCTGCCACTCTCTTCTGTTCTCCCAAGTTCATAAGCATCGCTGAAGTCATCCAAGAAATGGATTGTAATCACGATCTCATCCACATTGTTTACAGTTTGTCTAAGGACATGGGCCTCCCTGGCTTTAGGGTTGGCATTGTTTATTCTTATAATGATGAAGTTGTGAGTTGTGGCCGCAAAATGTCAAGCTTTGGTTTAGTATCCTCACAAACTCAATTCTTTCTCGCTTCAATGCTATCTGATGATGAATTTGTTGAAAAGTTTCTGGCGGAAAGCTCAAAGAGGCTGGTGAAAAGGTACCATATTTTCACAAAGAGACTTGAACAAGTGGGGATTAATTGCTTGAAGGGAAATGCAGGTCTTTTCCTCTGGATGGATTTGCGACACCTCCTTCCACAAAAAACACTTGAAGCAGAAATGAAACTATGGCACACGATAGTGAACAATGTGAAACTTAATGTTTCACCAGGCTCCTCCTTTCGTTGCCAAGAGCCAGGTTGGTTTAGGGTGTGCTTTGCAAATATGGATGATGAGACTGTGGACATCGCACTCAAAAGAATTGAAGCATTTGTGAGTCAAGGCAAGGAAGGTGGTGAGAATACAGCAACAAGGAAACATTGGCAACCGAATCTTCGTCTCAGCCTCAAGTCTAGGAAATGTGATCAGGGTGTTTTGACACCCCATATGATGTCTCCTCACTCTCCAATGCCTAAGTCACCATTAGTTCTAGCAAGGACTTAATCAGAAATATATAGCATACAAGTAAAGTATATTTACGGAAATCACTCAATTCCTTGAAGAAATAACAGTAAATTTTTTTTCCCATTAATGCAGTGGAGCGTTTTTGTGGGAGAATAAAAATTTACATTGTGAAAATGGTATTATTGTATTTGTATTTGTGGGGTTAATTCCACAAGGCAATTAACAATTGCCAGGAAAGGTTAAATTGTGTAATTTAAAGTCATAGACTTATGTGTTTCGTCGAGTCCGAAAATTATTTCTCGATTCTATGTTTAACATAATTATATATATCGAATCTCAGCAAATATTTTTTATATACTGTTTGAATTGATAATTGATAATTACTAATTAATTATTATAAGTAGCTAAATGAGATGGCATATAAGTGCAATTAGCAAGCAGCAATGCGTCATGCCGGCCCGTATTGTTTATGCCTCGTGCAATTTGTATAAAGTACAGAATGATGGGACAGTGACATATGGGCAATTATTAAATGTGCTAATAAAAACATGTTACACTTAAATATCAAATTACAGAGCCAATTTTTATCTTAAATATACTAAAAAAAAATTGTGAGACAAAAGAGCTGCGTTGTCTTAATTAATTAATTAACTTAATCCGGATAATAAGGAACATGACTCGCACTGCATTAATAGCTATTTCTTATTTTTGTTTTTTTGAGGCGAACTGTTGTTGTCAAATCTGTCGTGTCGTGTGCTTCTAATATTTATATATGTGTTTTATTTCCACACACTTCTTCTTCAACTAATGAACTGAATATGATATTAAAGCATATTCAAAAGTTTTTTTATACGTTTGATTTATTCATAAAAATAAAAGTTTAATAAATTTTTTATTTTTTAAATATAAATTAAAGAGTCTCTTTTTTTATTTTAAATAATAAATAATAAATTTATATATATTTTATATATGATTTATTTTCCCTATTAAGTTTTTTTTTTTTTTTAAATATATTCTTTCACCTAAAATTTAAAAAGTTTATTGTATTTGAATAATTTTTTTTTATATATTTAAAAATCAACTAAATGTTTTTTATTTATATAAAATATGATTTTTTATTTTTTATTATATAAAAAATGTAGTTTAATCCATCCCTTTTATCATTTCTGACGAGACACGACTGCCCCCACCAATCATCATCAAACAAAACATTAACATACTCAATTTCCTTGGTTGCCTAACTTAGGTCCAATCTACTCAGCAACATGAACCCACGATTATTAATTGTGTTTATGAAAACGAAAAAGTGGTTGAAGTTTACTCCCCCGCCATTGTTATCCATTGACTCGTTAATGGTGATCATCTAAACAGGACTTGACAAGAAGAAAGGAATCTTGGTAATGTAAAATTGGAAATTACTCATGTGTGAGACAGAATTAAAAACACAAGTCATAAGTGTCAGCGATATCTCAGGAAGCGTGCTCTTAAATTCGTTGACTGAAAAAAGTTATTTATAAACACACGTCTCTTCTCCAACAAAAATGGAAACTGAGGCACCAAACGTACCGTTTAGATCTTCAATTCAACACAAATCAATTTCTAATCAAATTTAATTTGTATGCTTTAGCCTTTGATATTATCTCTAAAACTTCAATTGTCTATTTTATTCCTTGCACGTATATTCGACACTAATGGTCAAGGATTTTGAATTTTGTATTTCTCTTAGTATTAATTTCCTGCATGAAGATTGCTTTGAAGTTTGAAGTCATCCGAATGTGAAAAGACTAAACTCAGCTCAGTGACCGGCAAGCACTTGACGAATGGGGTGTAAAGTTTGGTGTAAAAAAAATACATATATGCTCACTCGTCAATACCAGTAAAAGATGAAGGTACTGGTCGGAGGACCAAGCAGGAGATTAATTAATTAATTAATTAACGTTGCTATTTACGTTCCTTGAATCATAATTAAAGGATGTAAAATTTTGGCAAGTCCCACATTTTCTTTGAGTGGAATGTTAAAGTCTTCAGTCTATCTCTCTGTTATACCTAAAAATAAACTCTGAAATCATCAAGTACCAATCAGAATCCAGTAAAACGTTTTACTGTTTAAATTATGCTTGACACGTATCTAAAAGCAAAAGGAATATAGCTGTCAAAACTTAAACCTATAGTTGGTCAAGGACCGGTCCCAAGCGAGCCCGCGCCTAGACCCATTAGGGACTGGTCCCATTTGGGACCAGTTGCTCATGCCCATGAGCAATTTCAGGACCCAGCCCAGTCCCTACGACCAATCCTATGGGCCTGTCAAATTTTATTTTCTCCCCTATCTTTTTTTATAGGTTAGGGGTGAAATAAAATTCTATAAGGGGGTTTATGTGATTTTTAGGGTTAGATTAGTAATTTTAAGGGGAGCAGCCAAGGTTATTAAAAGCAAATTTTTTTAATTTTGTAAAAAAAAAAATTAACCCCTATAATTTTTGTCTATTTCAAAATTTATAGGGGGTTTTATGTAATTATCTAGGGCTAAAAAAAATAAACCAAAAAGGTTTGGGCCCAGTGGAGGGACCGAGCCCTCCTCTTTAGGCCTGGTCCGGTTTTGGGACCAGGCCTACTAGGACTAGTCCTAATCGAGTTTTTGGGTCAGGTTTTTAGACCCAGTCTCAAATGCCCAGCTCTACTCAAATCATCTAAAGGATATGTGTCTAAGTGAATTTGGTTCGTACATATATCCAAGCCTCATTTAATTTAAGGATATACATGAGAGTTATCAATGAATGGGAAGGCAAAAATGATCTTCACAACATCAGACCGCTTGCAAAATGTAATCATTACTTTGAGCAAAACGTATATAAATAGATAGCTCTCCCTCATAAAATAGTGTTAGACACACACGATTTTCACAAAGAAAATTGAAAAGACACACTACTAGAAAAAAACTAGTTTGACATTCTCTTAGAACACAAACACTTGTAATCTCATATCGCAGATCGCTATCTCTTGTAAACTTTTGTAACGATCAGAAAAAAAATATTTATATAAACAATCACAATGAATGTATGGTTCACTTTAAGTATATGATAAAAACTCTCTTGTCATCTTTGCTTTACGTATTTGCATGCTATTGCTATCATAATACCTCACTTGCTCACTATAATATGCTTATGTGTGACTTTTTAGCATTTTGCATTTGTAAAATCGTTGTCCAAATCAAGTATCAACAGTCTTCAGGTTATTAAAGACCAGATCCAGATACAATGTAGGTCCACTGTTTTTACTCATTAAACACTCTTCATGGTTACTGAAGACCAGATCCAGATACAATGTAGCTCCACTGTTTTTACTGAATAAGTTGAGACGGTAGTATATACAGGAGGTGTGAGAGTGGGTCACATGTTGTGCTTCACATGTTGTTCACATGGAATTGCTGATTTTTAAGGACGATAATGCAAATCCATGACGTGGATCTTACCTGGAACACATTTTTAAAGTGATGTTCTTAGTGTTGGTTAAGTCACTAATTATAATAATTAAGGAAGCAACTTTTGGATTAATCTTTTCTATTTACCTTGCATCAATTATGAGATGCTAACCAAATCAGGTGCAGTAACTTAGATTATAAGATCTGAAACAATAATGAAACAAACCATTGGTTCTCAAACAAAGATTTCACATCACCGTCAAACTCACTGTTTCTATGATCAGGAAAGGAAAGAATAACCACAAAAAAAAAAAAATACAGATATATGAAACCGACCATGGGCCACAGAAAATGCCTCTTCAGTTAGATTATTGTTAAGACCCCAAATCTGAAGGAAACATGACCCTGCAGTTTCTGTATAAACAAGTGTGCCTCAAATAATAATGGCAGAAAATTCTGAAAGGAAAAGCTTCAATGTGACCCACCCGAGTTTTTAAAGCCACAGCGACTTTCACCGTCCTTTTCCGGCCAGAGGATAGCAATAGCAAATCGAAGAGAATTTGATAGACTAATTCGAATGACACGACTACTATCATTTTCGGAGTTTGAAAATCACAGAACACTTCAATTTATGCAGAGTATATGAATTAAGTTTTGACGTTATGAACTTTATTTACCAACTGATTCTATAAATTAAACTAAAGTGAGAATGGATTTTATAAAAAAATTTGCGAATAGGTATTGCAGAAAGAAGAGAAGACCAATAAGTAAGTCTTAGGTATACATCGAAAAACAAATAACACAAAATTTTATTTATTCTCTCTACATCGGTCTCATGCATGAACAAAACAACGAGGCATATGACTATATATACACGTACAGTTTGTTCTGGGTGTTGTCCTGCCTCTTATATGCATAAATTGATGACATTCAAATCCATCACCAATTCAGAAAGTTGTCTTTGAATTCACTTTTCACAGCCTAAAAAAAGTTTAACATATAACACAACATTTGATTTTCTTCGATGCTTTGAACATGATAATATGTGTATATGAGGATTATAAGCTCTGTAAGCTTAACTAGCTCTAAAACTGGGTCTGGTGGTGGTGGAGCTGGTGCAGCCTCTTTCTTTGGCTCTTCCTTCTTTTCTTCCTCTTTCTTTGGTTCTTCTTTCTTAGCCTCCTCTTTTGGTGGTTCCTCTTTCTTGGGTTCTTCTTTCTTTGCTTCTCTCCTCTTTCTTAGGTTCTTCCTTCTTAGGCTCCTCTTTCTTCTCCTTCTCCGGCTCTTTTGCTGGCCCAACTAAGATAATACCGTTGGCCAGTATTTTCGCAATTTGCTCACTACGTTTACAGACAAACGGTTCCTATCACTGTTAATTTCTTTTCCTTCATGTCCATCGAGATAGCATCGATTCCTACAATTTTACAAACACTGGATTATAAAACTATTTTTCTAGCAAAAAAACTCTTATAAATAATCTAATTCACAAATAACCACTGAAATTTTAATTCCATAAGTACTTACCACTATTATATAATATAGATTAGCATCAATAAATCTTTAAAATTTATATAATTAATATGTGGTTTTATTCAATTATTGAAGGATGTGGGAATATATAGATGTCAAGCATACAGGTAAAAGCTCCACGTGTAATCAAATGTTTAATAGCTCATGCATTGGTTTGATTTTTGGATATTTCTGTAATTTATGCTTAGTATTGATTATCCTCCAAGTAGCGTAAGCGAAAAGGACAGTTAAAATGATCCATTAACAAACTTCTCCCTGTTTTTCTTCCTC